CAAGATAAGGATAACAATAGCAGTGAGTGGCCAGAGCACCAGCGGTCCAGGGAAGGGCATGTCATAAATACTTCAGCAATGACGGGATCAGGAAGGTTTCTGCAGGGTTTAGGCCCTAAATGGGAAGCCTGTCCGGCACTGAATATCCCATGTCACTGAATAGGGGCACGGAGGTCCCAGGTAACGCCCCTGAGTGCTGGGCCAATGGATCCCAGCCTCCTCCTTTGGTCCCATCGGACGCTCCAATGTCATTTTTTCTGTGTGCATTATGAGTAGTGTGGGAGGCGTTAGTCCAAGCCCATAGGGTGGTGTTTCTAGAAAAATCATGATGATACTATTAGGAAGTGCTCAAGAGGAAGTAGGTTTTTATGAAGTAGCTCACTTTTGGTAGATGAAGAGACATCTAAGGGAAGACACTCAAGAAACTAAAAATAGTAGTTGCCTCAAAAGGAGGTGACTTAACCTTTTTCTATACACCCTTTGGGGTTTTTTTTTTTTTTTTTTAAATTTTGTACCATGACCATGGATTACCTATTCAAAACTATTTTTTTAAATTACTTGGTTCATAAATAAAGATATTAATGTCAATGTGACTCAACAAGACAGGTGGCTATTAACCACCAGGAATATTGGCAAAGTGATGGAAATGGCAGCCCACTCCAGTATTCTTGCCTAGAAAATCCCATGGACAGAGGAGCCTGACAGGCTACAGTCTATGGGGTCACAGAGTGGACATGACTGAGCCACTGAGCACAGTTGCAATGGACAGACACGAAGATGGGAATGAAACAGCCCCCACCCCCAGGAAGGTCAGGTCAGGGGGTGAGACGATCAGCCAGCCACTGGCTTAGCCACCAAGATAAGGATAACAATAGCAGTGAGTGGCCAGAGCACCAGCGGTCCAGGGAAGGGCATGTCATAAATACTTCAGCAATGACGGGATCAGGAAGGTTTCTGCAGGGTTTAGGCCCTAAATGGGAAGCCTGTCCGGCACTGAACATCCCATGTCACTGAATAGGGGCACGGAGGTCCCAGGTAACGCCCCTGAGTGCTGGGCCAATGGATCCCAGCCTCCTCCTTTGGTCCCATCGGACGCTCCAATGTCATTTTTTCTGTGTGCATTATGAGTAGTGTGGGAGGCGTTAGTCCAAGCCCATAGGGTGGTGTTTCTAGAAAAATCATGATGCTGATGGTGCTGAGGAGGGAGAGCAGGGGAGGAGGGAGATCCAGTGAGGGAATCATCACAGCATTTCATGGGAAAGACAAACAGTTCCTGAGCCTTGTCAGCAGTGGAGACAAAATAATGAGAGACGGATTGCACAGGTTTTCAGGAAGTCGATAGATCTTAACACCCAAGTGAAGGTGGATCCAGGCTGGGGAGGATGCAGTGCAGGTGCCACAGGCAGACCATCATCATGGACCACATGCCTGTGATGCTGACCCACCCAACGCTGGGCCAACATGCTCCTGTGTTACTGAATCACATCAATCCTCTCCGTCTCACAAATCGGGAAGACTGACATCCAGAGATGCTGAGAAACTTAATTAACCTCACAGCTGATCAAAGCTACAGGGCTGGTGTTTGAATTCAAGAAGACTCCAAAACCAGACTCTAAATTTGAGACTATAGCGGGGAAGTGATATTCTATATTTGCATGTAGTTATGTTCAAAATAGTAATAATGATGCTTAGATGGTATTTATTGAGGGCTATCCCCAGGGTTAGGCACTGTTCTAAGCAATTTTCATTCCACCATGAACAGTCTTTCCAAGGAGGTACCATGACTACTCCCATTTACAGACGGTGAAACCACAGCACAGAGACATTAAGTAACTTGCCCAAGCTCCCACAGCTTATAAAGCCAAAGAATAAAACATCTAAAGCTTAAAGGCACATCTTGTTATTCCCCCCCCATAAAACCTACTGCAGATGATAATGAGTACTTATAGAACTTTATGAAAGAGGTATTCTAAAATTGTAGAATTGGGTCTCAAGGATGATTACCTTGAAATAATCACCCTTCCCTCATAGCTCAGATAGTAAAGAATCTGCCTGCAATGCAGGAGACCTGGGTTCGATCCCTGGGTCAGGAAGATCCCCTGGAGAAGGAAATGGCAACCCATTTCAGTATTCTTGCCTGGAAAATCCCATGGACAGAGAAGCCTGGTGGGCTGCAGTCCATGGGGTTGCAAAGAGCTGGGCACGACTGACTAACACACACCTCGGAATAAGTGATCATGTAAACATGTTACGATACTGGTGATTCTAAGAGTAGCCCAAAGCACCAAGGAACAGCATGTGTTTATTTCCTATCCTTGTTGCATTTGAATTCTCCATCATGCTATATTAACTACAGATGTCCGCTCTATATTTAACGTCTGGAAAAATGGAAGAGAAAAAAGGAGTGGGCCAAAGTCTGGGATACCAGGAGGTAGGCAGTGATGTTTTTATTACACAAACCTTGTTTCCAGCTGCTAAAATTAGTATTTTTTTCTTGGCCCTTACTTGGGGAGTACAGTTACAAGGAAGAAAAATGCACCTTTAAAAGCCATTTGGGCGCACGCTTTGCTAGGCAGCACATATATGCTCAATTTAAATACTACATCCTTTATGAGAATGAAGTAAATTTCCTCTAGTCATAGAAGAGAGTTTTTCCTTTATCCTTGGAGTTGTCTACTTTTACTTAGAAAAGAAAAACAGTCCAAAAGCAAGATTTGATGAACTAACCTGTGAAGCAACTGTAATTTCAAGTAATTGCCAGCTGTGGACTTAACACAACATCATTGTTAGAAAGGTGCCACCTAGTACTTTGCACTTCTAGAAATAGCTCTTTTTACACAGGTTGTATCTCAAAGAAGCTGAGTTATTGGGCCACATATCATGACGTTTACAGCAGTTCAGTGCGCTCAGTCGTGTCCAACTCTTTGGAACCCCATGGACTGTAGCCTGCCAGCGTCTCTGTCCATGGAATTTCCCAGGCAAGAATACTGGAGTGGGTTGCCATCCCCTTCTCCAGGGGATTTTCCCAATCCAGGGATGGAACCCGAGTCTCCCGCATCTCCTTTGTCTCCTGCATTGCCAGGGGATTCTTTACCACTGAGCCACCAGAGAAGTCACAGTAATGCAGAGAGGCTGTGAAATGATAAAGGATTCTTAATAAGGGAGTTCCCTGGTGGTCTAGTGAAGACTTTGCCTTCTAATGCAGGGGCTGTGGGTTCCAACCCTGGTTGGGGAACTAAGATCCCACATGCTTCTTGGCTAAAAAACCAAAACATAAAACAGAAGCAATGTTGTAACAAATTTTAAAAAGACTTTAAAAATCATCCAGTTTAAAAAAAAATCTTAAAAAAGAAAAGAATTCCTAATAATCTAAAAGCTATCAGATGATTGTTTTATATATATATAAGTACCAGATAACTAGCTCACTGGTGATGTTAATCAGAATTATTTTATTATTGTATTATGAGCAAATGATACTATTTCACTGGTCATTCATTGTATATACATGGGACCCCAAATTGTATTTTAAAAAGTCAAAACTCCCTCAAAGGCGCCTGTAAAGAGGGTGATGGTTGAGGGGGTGGGGGTTGCAAATCTGGAAGGCAGTGTGACAGATTCAAAGGCCCTCCCGCTGTGTGTGGTTTTCCGTGGCATCTTAAAGCAGGAAAGCCCCACGGGGTCCCACTTTCTCCAAACACCATTCACAGCCACCAAGGCCAAGTGCTGCGCCCGGAGGGGCGCGGAAAACATTCCGGGCATCTCCCTAGACCAGGACTTTCAATTCTTAGAACAATAAAGCTGAATCCAGCTGCTCTCCCTCCAGCCTGTGGGAAACCAGGCTTTTCACTGTCAGCAATGCGAGAGAAAGGCGTTCAGCTTGCAGAGTCGCAGCCCGCTCTCCCGCGAGGCCGGCCCCTTTCTTTGCAGGCTAACTATGCAAATTCCCTGCATCCCTGCCCGGCCGCGCGCGGAGAGGACGCACAGCCATTCAAAGCCCGGTCGCTCGCTCCGGTCCAGCGCGTCCCCCGAGAATGCGCCCGGGAAGGGGACGGTCCCTTGGCTGCAGGGCGCACAGCTGGGCGCGAGGCCAAACACGCATCTTTCCCACGCGGGTGCTGTGCGCTCCGCCTCCCTACTTTTGACCTGTTCCTTCCTCCGTTTTGAATAACACGTGTATCTTTGGGAGTGTGCCGGGGGTCACGGGTTGCATGCATAGACGTTTTCAAGAAATATTCGTGACCTCCTAGCCAACAAACGGGAAGGCTTAGTCTCTGGGGAGAGCGGGGCACGAGTGTCCGCAGAAAGGGGAGGAGGGCTTCTCGTCCTCCCGGGCAGTGACAGACGATTTGAAAGTTGGCCGCGGATCTCAGTTCTTGGCCAACCCTGCCCTGCGAGGTTGCCAGGCATCCGAGTCCGGGCTCCCTCACCCCTAAGTGACCGCGGTCTACGCTGCGCGCGGAATGGCCGGTTCTGCCACCTCGGGGCCTGCACCCAGCGTGGCTGGGAGGCGCCCTCAGCGGGTCCACAAGCCCGCGCCTCCGCGTGCGCTCCCCACGTGTCTACCCTCGTGAGTGGTCCGGGGACCCCCTTTTCCCGGTCTCGGGCCACCGACTTTCTGCCGCCTGACGGTAAAGGTGCTCCGCGGGCGCCTTTCCCATTCATTCCCCGCCCGCCTGCCCGCCGCGGCCCGGACCGACAGGCAGGCCCGCGCGGCTCGCCACTGGGGCCCCCGGGTCGCCAAGGCAGACCCAGGGACTCAGAGCCCGAGGAGCCGAGGAGGGGGCCACATCCGTCTGGAGTGCGCCCCCAACACTGAGTGCGCCCCCCAGCCCTCTCCCGCCTGCCCGGCGACCTTTCCAGGGGCCTCGCGGGAGACCCACGTGTCGGATCCCCGGCCGGGGGTGAAGACGGATGCGTGCACCGACCTCGGCGCGGCTAGGCGTGGGGCTTTGTCCCGCAGCCCCCCGCCGCCTGGGGACCCAGACGCGACCCGGGCTCACCTCTCTGCTGGCCCTGCGCGGAGACCCAGAGGAGCGAGGCCAGGAGCGCCAGCCCCGCGCCGCCGTCACGCATCTCGCCGCAGCGCTCGGGTCGCTCCGGGGTGAAAGCGGCGACCGCGCGCGGGGACTCCGCCGAGGGCGAGACTGCGCTGCCCGCCGGCCCCTCGGACACACCCCCGCCGACCTCGGCGGCGCCCGGCCCCGCCCACCGTCCGCAGCCCGCGCGGGAGACCCTCCCCCCTCCTGGAGACCCCTCCCCGCGGAGACCTCCCCCGCTCCGAGACCCCTCCCACCAGACCCCTCCCCACATAGACTGTCTCCCTAAAGGCCTTCCCCTCCATAGGTCCCCTCTCTCGCACGAGGGGGGGACAGACTGAGCCATCCCCAACTCGGGGGTGAGGGTCGTCCCGCCGCCGCGGGCTCCGAGTTAGGGGGGGCAGACGGAGAAAGTGACTGGAGGAGGAGCGGGGGTGGGGGCAGATCTGCTGGCCTGGGCGGTAGATTCCGAGAAAGTATTCACCCTGCTGACCCTTCCCGCCCCGCGGGGGCCGTGCGGCCGAGCCCGGAGCCGGGACCCCGAGCAGCCGCCACCGAGACCGCAGCACGCGGGGCTAGGGCTCGCCCCCATGGTGGGACCCCGGGTTCACCAACCCGTATCTCTGGCCCCCAAGGGGTGGCCTGGGCCTCCCAGGAAGGGACTGGGGCTCGTAACTACCAGTTTACCCCCTCTGCTGTTGGCAGAGGGTTTTGTGAAGCCTTTTCTAAAAGGGAGTAGTAATTCGCTTCCCACTTTGTCTAAGGCAAGAAAGTCGCTTGGATTTAATTATTATCATTCGCATACCCTTACAGTTCGAGAAGGAGATCTTATGGGGGAGCGGGGAGAAGGGAGTTCAGTCTTAATAGGAGATCTCAACTGCTTTGTTCTTTTTTTAAAAATACATCTGGTCCCTGTTAAAGAGTTTTTAATTTCCTCTGATTTTTTTTTCCTATTGCAAGTATTCATAACACTTTGCAGATCTTGCTTTCTCACAATATAAACAGGAGAGATAAAGTAAGTGACTTATTAAGGCCCACGCACTCATAAATGTCTTTTTTCTTTTTTTGCCTGATAGGGAGATCCTTATACTTCAGTTGTGTCAGTCAATGTGACAACCTTACCAATTCTAGTTTTTCTCAAGACATTTCCTTCAACGTTTAATGAATAAAATATCATTATAATATTAGCAATTATTATTACTTTTAAGCATAGAAATACAGAACAAGAGGGTAGAATTTGGCCCTTTATAAAGGATGCAATATAGTTGGGTGAGAAGGTAGTCATCACAGTACTACATTTAAAACACAGAGATTCTTAACTATTAAAGCATTGAAGTAGTAAAGTATTAAGTATTTATGTAACAAATCAGTGATTAAGTTCAGTGTTTAGCAAGTATTAAGCATCTAATATTAAAAGATGATAGAATTATCGATAGAATTATAAGCATTTCTGCAGCAAAATAACTTTGCATGCACATTATACATGTGAAGATATGTCTTTTTGAGTCTTAAGAGCATTCATGCTTATTAGCTGGTGTGATCTTCCCAATTCTGAAAGGCAGCAGTTAGTTACCCTTGTGTGAAGAGGTGAGGAAATGAGTTCAGGAGGTCAAGGTCTCAATGTCGGCAAATGTCTGGTGTAGAGCCAGCCCTCAGAGCTGATTTCTGGTCCAGAGTTCTCTGATTGCTGCCCTGAGACCCTGGAGGATGAACTGAAAGGCAATAGCGGAATCACAGGGGTCATCTGTACCCCCATATCCTGGGCACCTAGAAGTTCTATCTGGACTTCAGACCCTATCTTTGAACGGCAGACAGGGAACTCCGGCTCCTGATTTAGAGAAACGAAGGGTCAGCACACTTGAGGAGTGAATAGGAAGTGTCCAAAGTCACCAAGTTGGCCCAATTTGTCCCTGCTCAAAATTAAGCAGAAAGATTTCAGTGAAAGAATTTCAGAAGCCACTGTAATGAACAAGCTTGGGTAAGTTTGAATAGGAAAAAAGTCACAATTCCCCTTCACTACTAGTGTTCCCATTCTTCAGCAAGCTTCCGTTCAGTTCAGCTGCTTAGTCGTGTCCGACTCTTTGAGACCCCATGGACTGCAGCACACCAAGCTTCCCTGTCCATCACCAACTCCCAGAGCTCGCTCAAAGTCAGGTCCATCGAGTCGGTGATGCCATCCAACCATCTCATCCTCTACCGGCCCCTTCTCCTAACTTCTTTCCCAGCATCAGCGTCTTTTCTAGTTAGTCAGTTCTTCTCATCGAGTGGCCAAACTATTGGAGTTTCAGCTTTAGCCTCAGTCCTTCCAATGGATATTTCTTTTAGGATGGAGTGGTTGGATCTCCTTGTAGTCCAAGGGACTCTCAAGAGTCTTCCCCAACACCACAGTTCAAAGCATCAATTCTTTGGCGCTCAGCTTTCTTTATAGTCCAACTCTCACATCCATACATGACTACTGCAAAAACCATAGCTTTGACTAGATGGACTTTTGTTGGCAAAGTAATGTCTCCTTTTTAATATGCTGTCTAGGTTGGTCATAGCTTTTCTTCCAAGGAGCAAGCGTATTTTAACTTCATGGCTGCGGTCACCATCTGCAGTGACCTTGGAGCCCCCCAAAACAGTCTGTCAATGTTTCCACATTTGCCATGAAGTGATGGGACCAGATGCCATGATCTTAGTTTTCTGAATGTTGAGTTTTAAGCCAACTTTTTCACTCTCCTCTTTCACTTTCATCAAGAGGCTCTTTAGCCTCTTTAGCCACTTTCATCAAGAGGTTCAGCAGGCTTGGAAATATCTAAATTAGCTACAGCACCATGAAAGGTCAAGCGTGGCCTGTTCAAGGTGAAAATGAGGCAAGAATGTTCATGGTTTGTGAGAAAGCAGAAATTCAGCTCAACAAGGCACACAAAGATGCTGCCTCCAATGTCACCTGTAAATAATGAGCCACAAAAATTCCTAAATGCTAAGCAAGAGTTAACTGGCTAATAATTTATTGTAAATCAAGTGAAAAGCTATTAGGTACCCATTTTTAAAGTATGAGACTTAAAATTTACCAAAAAACGCTGAAAGTAATAAAAGCAAAATTCCAGTTAATAGGGGAGTCCTGGTGGTAATTATATAAAATAAGTACATGTATAAACAAGATACTAGCAGGCAGCATGCAGAAAAAAATTAGTTGTGTTCAGCTGATAAGAGTGCAAGGGGTGGCGGGGGGTGGGGTATTGTTGGTATGATAAAGAACTTGGGCCAGCCTCATAGACGGCTCCCATTCTTCCCCCTCACTTTCTAGAAATTATATCTTGGGAAAGTTTCCTCATCTGTAACGTAGGAATAATAATAGTGCCAACTTCATGCATTCAACAAATATTTTTTCAGTCCCTGTTAAGTACCGGTTCTATGGCTTCACCATGAAACAAGACAGGTTCTCATCTCTGTGGAACATTGTCTGGCAGTTAAGGCAGGGGAGAAAATGTAAGCTAAAATTATAAATTTAATAAGTTTGTTAAAGGGTCACTGAGATAAGGAATTTGAGACCAAGTCCTGATCTGGCTGTTTGGGAAGGTTTTGCTGGGAAACTTTTTCATGAGGAGTCAGTGAGCCAGTGTCTGTCACTCACCAGCACTCTGCTTAGCTTATGGTAAATGCTCAAGAAAGATGAATTATTATTTCAGTTTTTCTCTAATACTACTATATTTTTCAATTAAAAGAAGAAAAAACCCAGCTTGATTATGAATATTTTCAGAAACAAGAGTTCAGGCAGAGAGGGATGGGCCAGATCAGAGCTTTCAAAACTGTTTGGGGGATCGTGTTAAAATGCAGATTCCAGTGCAGTAGGGCTGCGGACAGAGGCTGGATTTCTGGACCTCTAACAAACTCCTAGGTGATGCTGCTGGCAGGCAGAGTGCACCTTGAACAGAAATTCCTGGCTTGCTTGTCCTTGATCTTGCCTGCACATTGAGATCGATGGAGAAGTTTGAAAAGATACTAATGTTCACTTCTATCCCCAGAGATTCAGATTCAGTTGGTACAAGGAGGAGTCTGGACATGAATATATTTTAAGGCTCTCTAGGTGAGCCCAAATGCAACATTTGAGACACCCTGGGCTAGACTGGATGGCTCCTACAGGGGAGATGATCCAGGTCTAGTCACTGGTGGCTGGGCATGCTGCAGGAGCCAGTCTCAGAGACGTATGATCACAGACAAGAAGAGGAAGCACAGCCTGGCAGATGTTTTCCTGCGAGGACAGACAGCCACGTGGCAGGAACCCAGCCAGCGGTGCCCAGAGCATGGGCCAGGACCATTTCTCTGGAGGCTTGGGGTAAGCAAGGCTGTCCTTTAGTTCTAAAGGGATTGAGATCCCAGACAGGGACTGGGACACAGAAACGTCACACCGGGATCCAGGTACCAAGCTGGAGTATAAAGTGGGAGATGTGATTACCAGGAAAGAGGTAAGAGGTTGGTCACTAAAATTGGGTTAGAGTGTCAGAGTCTGGTCCAGGCCAAAGCTAAAGAGGCTGAGTGTAAACTAAGCAGCTTAATGTCCCATGGCAGAAATAAGGTGATTAGGAGACTAAGCCTTCGGCAAGAGTGAGGGGCGGATGATCCAGTAGACAGAGTAGGCAGATTAGGGATGGAGGCAGAATAGTGTCACCTCAGAGATGTTGGTGAAGACTCTTGAGAGTCCCTTGGACTGCAAAGAGATCAAACCAGTCAATCCTAAAGAAAATCAACCCTGAATATTTATTGGAAGGACTAATGCTGAAGCTGAAGCTCCAATACTTTGCCACCTGATGCAAAGAGCCAACTCTTTGGAAAAGACCCTGATGCTGGAAAAGATTGAGGGCAGGAAAAGAAGGGGGCAGCAGAGGATGAGATGGTTGGAAGGCATCACCAACTCAATGGACATGAGTTTGAGCAAACTCCAGGAGATGGTGAATGACAGGGAAGCCTGGTGCATTGCAGTCCTTGGGGTTGCAGAGTCAGACACGAATGAGCCACTGAACAACAACAGAGATGTGCATGTCCTAATGACTGGATCCTGGGAGTACGTTGGGCATGAAAAGTCTCAGATGTGATCAAGTGAGGATTTTTACAATAACTTTATTTATTCATTCATATCCCCAAACTGGAATCAAGCCACATGCCCATCACCAGAAGAATGGATTTTAAAATCTCGAATATTTTGGGACTTCCCTGGCAGACCAGTGATTAAGGCTTCACCTACCAATGCGGGGGGTACAAGTATAATCCCTGGTCAGAAGGTTAAGATCCCACACGTCTCTTGACCAAAATACCAAAACGTAAAATAGAAGCAATGTTTTAACAATTCAATAAAGACTTTTAAAAAGCTAAAATAAAATGTTGGATGGAATGTTTGCAATATTTGCAAACATTTTGCAAACATTGCAAATGTTTGCAATGGAATAAACTTGGCAATAAGACAGAATGAACCACTGACTCACACAACATGAATGAATTTGAAAAATGTTCAAGCTGGTTTTAGAAAAGGCAGAGGAACAAGAGATCAAATTGCCAACATCCGCTGGATCATTGAAAAAGCAAGAGAATTCCAGAAAAACATCTATTTCTGCTTTATTGACTATGCCAAAACCTTAAGTGCGTGGATCACAATAAACTGTGGAAAATTCTGAAAGAGATGGGAATACCAGACCACTTGACCTGCCTCTTGAGAAACCTGTATGCAGGTCAGGAGGCAACAGTTAGAACTGGACAACAGACTGGTTCCAAACAGGAAAAGGAGTTCGTCAAGGCTGTATACTGTCACCCTGCTTATTTAACTTATATGCAGAGTACATCATAAGAAACACTGGGCTGGAGGAAGCACAGGCTGGACTCAAGATTGCTGGGAGAAATATCAATAACCTCAGATATGCAGTTGACACCACTCTTATGGCAAAAAGTGAAGAACTAAAGAGATTCTTAATGAAAGTGAAAGAGGAGAGTGAAAAAGTTGGCTGAAAGCTCAACATTCAGAAAACTAAGATCATGGCATCCAGTTCCATCACTTCATGGCAAATAGATAGGGTTTGGGTGGACTCTGGGAGTTGGTGATGGACAGGGAGGCCTGGCGTGCTGCGGTTCATGGGGTCGCAAAGAGTCGGACATGACTGAGGGACTGAACTGAACTAAGTGAAAGAAGCCAGCACAAAAGAGTCCTTTTCTGTGACGTTTTGCAACAGACAAAACTAATCAAAGGAAAACAATGGTTGCCTATGGAGAGACTGAAGACTGACGGGAAAAAGACAAAAAGGAGTCTGGGATCATAGAAATGTCCTGTATCCTGATTGGCGTGTTGGTTTTATGGCTACAAACCTCTACCAAAATTCGTTCAGTTATACAGATTTAGGATCCATGCATTTCTCTGTATAAATAAGGATCTTGAGATGAGGCGATTTTTGTCAGTTTTTCTGCCTGAGCCCAGAGTAGTCCCAGAAGTCCTTGTGAGTGAACTAGCGGGGACAAGGAAGTCAGAGAAATTCAGTGTGACAGAAACCCACTCTGCCAAAGACGACTTTGAAAGACAGGGGAAGGGGACCATGAGTCCAGGAATTCGAGAGGCTTCGAGAGGCTGGAATACTTTCTAGAGACTCCGAATCTTTGGCCACCTGATGCGAAGGGCTGACTCACTAGAAAAGACCCTGATGCTGGGAAAGATTGAAGGCAAAAGGAGAAGGGGACAACAGAGGATGAGATGGTTGGAGGGCATCACTGACTCAATGGACGTGACTTTGGGCAAGCTTTGGGAGAAGGACAGTGCTTTAATGGTTTCTTTAAACACTTATAGTATTTTAAATTTGCAAATCTGAGTTTTCAAAGCATGACTTTAAAAACACATTTAAATAGACTTTCACAGCAATCTCGTACACAAAAAATCGTGGTTAAAAAAAAATACAGGAACAAATTCCAGTTCCCACATTTACTTGACTGAATGAGCTTTGGGAAATTATTTAAGTTTCTTGACCTTTGTTTCCTCATCTGTAAAATGGAGACACATAAAAGACCTACATCAAAAGATGAGAAGCAAGGTTCTTAGCATAGTGCCCAGTATCAAGTAAGTATCCAATAATTATTTTCTTCAATTACTGTGTTCATCTCCATCATCAGAAGATTAGGAAGCAATGTTGTGCAGCTGCTGTCATGAAGATGGGCCAGTTTGTCAGCACAGGTTTATAAAAGGCCATTGGACACACGTGAAGAGATAAACCATTATTTATCTTCTTATTTACATGGAAGACGCAGAGATGACCCCAAGGGGAAAGGCAAGCTAGAAGCAAACATCTTCCTGAAAACCAAGTAGTAGAAAAAGATTAATGGAAAATAGTGACCAGTACAGCAAAATCCAAAAAGAATCTGTTTTTCAAAAAGTTTGGCAGAGAATTGGTCGTTAGAGAACTTTGCAAGTGTGTTTTTTCTCTCACAGAGGAAGAGGAAGCCAAATTGGGGTGGGGGTGGGTGTCTGGGAGACAGCTGTTCACAAGGACACGTAAACAACATTTGTCCCCCAACTCTGCAGGGTGTCTCTGCCTGCTGGATATCAGTAACAAAAAAACCTTCAACAGGAAAGTTAGATCTGGAAATCAAGGTTAGCAGCACACGTGACTTGGTGAAGCTGGACACCAATTATCTGAAAATTAGGAAATAGATGCTCGTTTCTTTTAAAATTTATTTTATGGAGGTATAGATGATTTACAGTGTTGTGTTAATTTCTGCTACACAGCACAGTGACTCAGTTACACAGGTAGATATATTCTTTTTCATATTCTCTTCCCTTATGTTTTATCACAGGATATTGAGTATTGTTCCCTGTCCTGTACAGTAAGATTTTGCTTATCCATCCTGTATGTAATAATTTTCATCAGGAAAGGGTGTTTATGAAGATACTTGTCATGTGTCATTTTCATCTGCCCTGGTTTGGGAGAAGATGCTTATAAACCATCACTGTTATTGGTGCTTCCTTCTGTTTTTATTAAGTTCTGTTCACTCCACGTGGAGGCAGATATTCTTCAATGTTCTGCACTTTCCATTCCCATTTTTTTCTCCTTGTTTACCTCCAGATCCTCATCTTTGCTCATTTTGTCACAACCCCTACATACCTTTCGTCAGGAAGCCAGTGGACAGTCGAATGACTGGGACACCTTGCAGTGATCTGGCGGCAGAGACAATATTCAGATTTTAGGAAGACGCTGTTACTAAGAAAGAGGATTTGTGGTGAAACAGACAGTATCCTTCCATTAAAAGACCCTTTATAGGATTCAGGAAGTAGTTAATTTTGGTCATTGTAGTAATTAATTCAATGCCGTATACTGGACAGTCAGAAGATCTAAAATTATAATTGTGTTTCTGGACAACATGAGCTATTTGTCTCTGGGAGAGATTACTTACCTTTTCTGAGCCTCAGTGTTACTTCTCTGTTAAATCTGGAAAACAATATAGACGACTAGACATAATAATTACTCCCTATAAAGACAGCAATAGTAATAACAGCTACTAGGTATTAAAAAATCTTGAAAGGAGACATTATATCTGTATTCACAGATGTTCTGCTTCAATCTCTGTTCTAGGACTGCATCATGGCCCCTGAACAAGACTGGAGAACTACACCGACCAGGATCTCTTCAACTCATGCCCACAGTCATTAAAGTTGACCTTCAGAATTGCCCAGCAATCTCAGGGCCTGCTAGAAACTGTTCACATCCCACTGACTGACCCCATCTTTTCAGGGCTCAGCTGCATTTCCCTCTGGCTAGGATGCCCACCATCTCTTCCTTTTTCCTCTCGTTGAACTCCTAGCCATCCTTCAAGACCCACTCAAACATCCCCTCCCCCAGGTAGCCTTCTGTGATTGCTTCAGTGCTCGCAGATTGCTTGCTCCGTTGTGCCACCAATGTACCTTGTAATGCAATTTCCATTTTAACAGATCTGTGAATTTTATTAACTTATTTTTCACATTAAACAATGAATTCTTGCCCCTCTTGTTTTATTTTGTCTTAACACCTGCCATAGTGTCTGAAACTAAACAAATACTTGTTGAAAATGACAATAAAGTTGATACATTCAACACTGTGTAATGATACTGGTGCAGCTCCTGTATTATTCTGACACGTCATATAAATCATCTCAAAGCTTTCTAAACATCCCCAGGTGGCAAAAGGCAATATGAGCTACTAGGGCTTAAACAGTTCTGTTACAAGCAATTCAAGCTGACTCTGGCCACCTTAAAGAGGGCAAGGTAATTGGGGAGATATTTGTGGGGTGGGAAGAGTAGGGGTCACAGAATCCATAGGAACCTGGAGGACAAGGCTTGGAGGATGCGTGGGAACCTAGAGAACTCCAGATGCTGGGCTACAGGCCCAAGGTCAAGACCACCCACCTGAACAGAACAGCTGACACCAACTACAGCACAAGAAGCGTCTGACCTTCAGCTGCTCGCTCCATCTTTGTTTCACCAGCTCATCTTCCAAAACCTGGGGAGCCAGTCATGAACTGAGCTTACATCCTGTGCCCAAGGTCATGGTGGAAGAGGCATGGACCTTTTTCTTATCCAGTAGGAGTTCTGACTGATGAGAAATAGAAGACAAATGAGCGAGACAGAGAATTCCTCCTGCTTCTCTCTACGAGGCCCTGCAGGAGGCCCCGGGGTCCTCTCCTCTCCTCGGATAAGCCTGGCATTCAGATCCCTTCCAAGCCCCCCAACCGACCCCCATGAGCTCCTCTGGTTCATTCAGAACAGAATCAGCATTTCATGCCTTTCTCTGTGATGTCACATCTCCCCCTTCTCTCTGCATTCTTCTCTTCTCTGTTGCCATGGATTTCACCTCCCAAATAGAACATCAGCATTTTAATCTTTGCCTCCCCATCTGTGCCTGAGATGCTAGCTCAGAATACTTGGGGAAAAGTAGGAAGTCAGTTTGGTTGCTGCATTGAGTCCATGGTGTGTAGGAAGAAACCCAGGTGAGGAATTTGATCTTGAAGCAGAAGTGATGGGAAGGAATTATAGACTCTTAATCAGAGAAACAAGAGTGAAGTCCTTCTTAGGAAAGTCTTCTGGCAGTAAACAGAAAGAGTGGAATCAAGAGAAATGGAAGATGAGTGACTGGGTCAGGGGGAAGATCGGGGGCGCGGTGGGGGGGAGAGAGCAGAGAGGAGGGCAGTGGGAATGGAGAAGAAAGAGGATGAAATGAGATTTCAAAAGAAGGAACATGACTGAGTAACTAATTGGATACAGATGATCACGGAAATTGGAGATTTAAATTTTTCTTTCTGAAAACGCAAAAAAAAAGTGGGTTAGATGGGAAGGTGAGCCACTGGGAGAGGAAGTCACAAGTCCAGTTGTTTGTTGTAGTTGTGATGTTACGAGATAGTCTGAGGGAGATGTTAGAAGCACAGCTGGAAATTGGAGACAGAGCTCCGTTCTCTCTGTGTGATGGTGACACCATGGACGGACTCAAACTCAGGAAGTGGGATGCTCAGAGAGAAGCGTCATGAGGAGCTCAGGTGAGAACAAGGCCAAGCGGAGCTCCTAGGAGGCGGCCCAAGACTTCCGGGAAAGAAGGTGCAGCATTCACCCACGGGAGGCCAGAGCTGGGAGAACGGAGATTCGAAGGAGGAGTACGACTGAGGATGAACTTTAGTGGCTTTGGTGAGTGGTCCAGGAAGCTTAGGGAAGACGAGTGACACCCACTTTACTGAATGTTTACGGTGCCTGCTGCTTAACCCTCATGTGCAAAGTCAGTATTATGTCCAGTTCAAGGGTAAAACAACAAGAGGCTCAGAGAGGTTAGCCAACTTGCTCCAAGTCACACAGCTAAAATGCATGTTGTTGTTCATTCTTTAAGTTGTGCTCGACTCTTTGTTATATGTCAGACTTCCCTGTCCTTCACCATCTCCCAGAGTTTGCTCAAACTCACGTCCACTGAGTCGGTAATGCCATCCAACCATCTCATCCTCTGTCGTCCCCTTCTCCTGCCTTCAGTCTTTAAAACATATATCAGTTTGTTTTTGCTATGGCCACAAATCATCCCCCAACATAATGGCTTAGGGCAATGATCATATATTTTTCCTCCAGGCAATTCTGTGGTTTGACGGTTGGTCAGCTCAGTGGGACCCTTCTCCTGTTCTTCTTTGCTGGGGATGTTCTCAAGCTTGCCATCAACTCCAGGGTAAGGAAATAGTGGTTTGGGGGTGCCGTGGTCAAGATACATGAAGCCAACCCACAGGAGATCAGCACGGTCCTAGGATGTTAATAGATTCGGTGACTTAGAAATTAACACACTTAGAATAAATAAAATTAAAATGAGAACAGCATACCCAAAGTAACAGGGATAAAGAGTGAATCTAACGTGTGGCAGAGAGCAGTTGCCGACAGCACATAGTAACAACCACGATTAGAGCCAACGGCATTACTGAGTTCGCAGTGGGCCAGCCACTGACCCAAGGGCTTTTGTGCATGATCTCATTTAATCCCCACAACAACCCCATCGGGCACGGCTGTTAGCTTATCTTCCAGTGAGGAAACAGGCACAAAATGCCTGGGTGGCTTAACCCAGATGGATCCAGGCAGAGGAGTCGGGAGTTTGGAATGTAGAAGAAAGGTTTGATTGTATAGTTTCAGCCCTGGTGTAGATGTCTTAGAATAATGAATTCCAGGACATGAGCCTGTTACATGCTGATTAACACAAACAAAAAAGTTCTAAAGGTAAGGAGGGCGAAACTGGGAGTCGAAGATGCTGAAGTCCTTGGACTTGGCTGTTGAAGTCAGTAAGAAGAATGATGGATAATAAGGCAAAAAAAATGGGGAAAAAAAGAATGCAAACCATGTCCTGAATGCTCCAAGAAAATACAGGATGTGAAAAGTTTATGCAATACTGTGAAACAGAAAAATAGACAAACACAGGGAAAGCCATATCGTCAGGATATGCCAGGTTTTTTTTTTGTTTTTTTTTTTTTTTTATAGTAACGCTACAACAACTCCTGAACCTCAGAGGAGAAAAAGGCCAAGGTATCTTTCCTGACTAATGATGGTGGGCTGGCTGTGGGCTGTTCCCTCTTGTAACTCGGGGGTCCAAGCTGATGCAGGCCTCATTTCAATACCTGCTTCCACAATCACGGAGGCTACAAAAGAGCTAAGTCACAAGCCAGTGCTTAGGTCACTGGGTTGTACCAGCCTCAGGGGAATCTTACCCATGCCTGTAAGTGCAGGAGAACCAGAAGTAACTGGAGAAAAGTTGCTAATGACAACCGCAGAGACATTCTGGTGGATTCTCCCACGACATGGGACACACAACAAGGACACAGGTGTGGTACACGGATGGTATAGGGACCCCAGTTGAGCGTGTAGAATGAAATGGGGAACAGGAGAGAGAGCTGGGTGGTGAGGTCAGGTGTGGCGGAGGGAAGCAAGATCAAGGCACAGCCGGTGTCACTTTCTGAAAGGTAGTAGGGTAGATGGAGGAGGCTGTGAACAGAGGAGCCTTTTATCACAGCAGCATGGGGGGTCTCCTGATACCCCTGGCAATTTAGGAAACTCTACTTCCTCTTAGGATGAGAAGGTTCTTTTCTTTTCAATCCAGACATTCTCCAAGTCAACCCCTGGATAGAGTACTAACATTTCAAGTGTGCGGCGGGGACTTCACCCGGGACCAGAAAGGCCTTAAGTAGGAGAAGGGACCAGAGTCTTGTTATCCCAGAGTCTCCAAGGCTGGGCATGTGCCAGATGGTTCGAAAAAAACAAACACATCAGCTCTTAATAGGTGCCTAAGCCGGACTCATCATTACAACTCTTCAGAGGATTAACTTCAGGTTTCCTAATAACTGAGACAAAAATGCCCTGGGCTACATGGTTTTCATTTTCTCACAAAATGAAACATGGATATTTATCTGCAAAGAGACACATTTAAGTGTAAATACACTCAAGGATGAATTTATTATGTGTGAATTACCAGCATAACAGACGATATTTTTAACTATGTTTTTCCAAGTGACCAGGCTAACCAAAGAAATTCTTCCGATTACCTGCTTGAGTGGCCAGCTTCACGTCGGTCACTTGGGGAGGGCTTTTAGGAAGAAAAAGGACTCTTCAGATAACGTTTGTTTGGTTTTTGATTACTTACATTCCAAAGGTGTTTAGGACCTAAAGAATGTAGAAGAAGGCACTGATTATTTTTCTACCAGATTGTCTTTCTTACATATCAGATGTTGCAGCTGAGCCTGTGTTAGAGCTCAGTAAATTGATGCCCAAATTCTTTGACAACGACCAGGAGCTCATCACCCACAGAGAATGTCAGTTATGCGCAATCCCATACTCACCCAAAAAGAGCTTTGTTCCTCAAATCTGGATAGTAGCAAGGACCAGTGCAGGTCAATTTTAATGAGAACCATTGGTGTAGGTCGGCTTCTTAAACTTCAGCACAGACATCAGAAATGGAGACAGAACACGTGTAGTGGGGAAAAATAAACAGTTTTCAGGAGCAAAGCAGCCTATGTGTTTCCTCTCCGAGAGTTTGGCCAAAAATGTCCTCCCATCAAAGCCAACAGGACAGGCCAAGCAGCCAAGGACTGAAAACAAAATAATCCAAATGAAGGAAAGGAGAAGATAAGTTTCAGGAAGGTCACACACCACATGTGCTGGTCACAATGTCACAGCTCATTCAAGGAGAGCTTAATCCACTCTTTCCTAAAGTGCCAGCTCAAGGAGCTGGAAGATTTTCTCAAAATGTGTCTTTTCATTGAATAACTGTTGTTCAGTAGCATCTATTCTTGCCTGGAGAATTCAATGGATAGAGGAGCCTGGAGGGCTACAGTCCATGGGATTGCAAAGAGTTGGACATGACTGAGCCACTAACATTTCAACATCTACACACTTTGCATCTCTAGGAATGGTTCTACAGGCAATGACCTATTCACTAAGGGCTGGATTTTAAATAAAAGATGATTATATATGATTAATTTGAATAAAGATGTTAGTGTTCTCTGAAGCCTGTAGATCTGACCTTGGGTAGAAGACAAACCTGGCTGTAACTCCACCTTTGTTCTTGCTAACCTACCCCCAGTTAATCTGGGTTTCAGATGCTCTGTGTTTGAGGGAAGGTGGGCTCGTCCCCATCCTGGGCGTGAATCTTGATAAATCTAGATCCATCAGGGAATTCTATTCTGTTCTCCAGGGCCTGGCTTAGATAAGGTGCATGACTCAGTTCTTTTCTTAATCAGCATTACTCAAGTATACCTCTATACCTCTAAAATAAAATCCAGCAATTTTGAGCATACAATTCGATAAGACTGATGGATGTAAACAGGCCTATAACCACTGCCACATTCACGATGTACATTTCCTTCACTGCCCCCCGAAATTCCCTACTGTCTTTGTGCAGTCAGCTCATTCCCCACCTTCCAGAAGCAACTGCTCTGCTCTATGTTACTTTGAACTGGCTTTTGTGAAGTAATCACATGTGTGGAATTGTACAGTCAGAGGTCTGTGTATCTTCTTTCATTTAACCTAATGCCCTGAGACCCTTCCACGATGCTCCGTGACTCAGTGGCCTTTGGTTCATGTGGCCGAGTGATCCCTCCACTTGCCTCTTCGTCAGTTCAGATAGCTGACAGATTTTTGGCTCCCACACGCAAAGCTGTTGTGAACATTCAAGTACAAATCTTTGTGTGGATGTGTATCACCATTTCTCCAGGAACTACCGGGGGTGGGGTTGCTGAGTGATGGGCCGGTATGTGAGAACGACTTGAGAAGCTGAAAAGTGCTTCCAAGGCGGCGTTCCCATCAACAATTCTGATTTCCAAGATTTCCAGTTGCTCCTCATCCTTGCTAACATTCGGTATTCTCACTCTTCAATACCAGTGATTCCAGTGGTGGGACTCAAAGTAGTTTAATTTGCATTTGCCGATGACAATGCATGATATGATATAACCAACAGTTTTTCATGTGCTTATTTTCCATTTGTATATCTTCTTTGGTGACATGTCTGTTCAAATCATTTGTCTTTTTTTTTTTTAATTCAGGGTATCTTCTTAATATTGAGTTGTAAAAGTGCTTTATGTACTCTGGATGTCAGTTCTTAAGCAGATATGCTTTAAAGCGTTTTCTACCAGTATATGCTTGTCTTTTCACTTTCTGAACAGTTACTTTTTAAAGGAAAAGTTTTGCATTTTTAGAACACTTTAAGATGTGCAGAAAAAGTGAGCCCCTCTCTTTTCCTCACTCCACAAAGCTCCTCAAACACTGACTGGCATGGAGAAGGCTTTTTTCTAGAGAAACTACAGGAGCATCAACATTAATAAAGCTAAATCTTCCAATCCATGAAGCACCCTGCATCTCTCTAGGAATGTCTACAGGAGACAAAACATTAGGTGACATAAGGGGGCTGACTCCTGACAAGCCCCCTACTTTATTATCTGGAATGTTCTATTAAATATTGTGCATATTTAAATTAAATGAGGGAGCAAAATGAAACAAAAACACAAAGCCTTCTCCAATAATAAATTTAGTCATTTTATTTTCACTTCTAAAATAGGCCCAATGACAGGTTATCTATTTCATTTGTATATATATATATCCTTCTGCTGGTATGGCTTATTTATTTCAACTGATGGAAAAATCTTAAAGGGATCCCTCACATTTTGAAAGCAAGCATAAAACATAAAAACTCTACTTAATACATTCTGGTGACCGAGATGGGAAGGAAATCCAAAAGGGAGGAATATATACGGGTATGTATGGCTGATTCATTTTGCTGTACACTCAAAACTAATGCAACATTGTAGAGCAACTATAATCCAATAAAAAATAGTTAAAAGATAAAATAATAATCGATTTTAAAAAGTCACGAGTCTCCAGGGACATGGGCTGAGGACAGCTCCAAGGGGACACTGGCAGGCAAGGAGAGGAGTGGGGTGGGGATTGAAGTGAGGCTGCCGCCGGGATGGCTCAGAAAACACTTACTAATGCTCGAAACTGAACAACTGAAAAGGAGGAAGTTTCTGTATATATCAAAGAACACAGATTTTTGAGTGTTCTAGAAAATTGTATAGACTCAAGATTCTCTCTCTATAATTTCTGAGTATGCACATGTGTGAAACAGATCCTCAGAAATGTGAGGATGTGCACACATGACTATGCATTTCCCAGGAGGGCAGGTTGTGCTACGACGCCACT